TAAGCTGACGGCTGGGCCTCTTTCCTCGTGACTCTCTGTGCTTGTAGATTCTCACATGGCCTGCGGGGTATTCCCCCCCCTCCCCATCTGTATCACTTGGGGGTGGCTTAACCTTGGATCCTAGCCTTGGATTCACTGCGGGTCAGCGGCTCAGTTTGATCCTGGACCAGATAAAACACACGCACACACCCAGAACCATTTCTCCCTTTGCACTCCCCCCACCCAAACGGTTTTGGCATGAAAAAGACGATGATCAAGCCTTGGTGAGCACAGAAGAGGCGGTGGGGGGGGGGGAGCAGTTCAGGGCTTCTTCCTCCCTCTCTTTTTAAAATGGAAATCAGAGCGCAGCGTGGGCGCCTCATATCAAAGCCAACAAAATTTCCCCCCCTTTTAACGAGAGCGCCGCTTCCCGACACAGGGCTGCGCAGGACATAAAAAGGAAACTCGCCTCTGGGAACTACTGTGCGAGATTTGATGTTCAGTCTCCCGCCGTAAAAGGTGGGCCGGTCACTTTGAACGAGCGAGAGGCGTCTCGCGCCTAGGGACCTGGGATGCGAGGCTTGCCTTGCGGACTTCAGGTCGGATGGGTGAGGGGAATTGCCGCCTTGTGGTTTCCACACATGCCTGAGCAGGGGAATGACTTTTGGCAGGTGTGTGTGTGTGTGGGGGGTGTTGGCCGGTGAGTTTTTGGTGGGGCCGCACTGCAGGGTTACACTGCACAATGGGTTTCGTAGTCTTTCGAGTCGTGTGAGCGGACGTTCTTGTGCCGGCGTGTTCCGCTTGCGAAGCATATAAAGCTGCCCATTTTGACCTCTGCATGAGTCTCTTCATTTTGCCCGTTCTCAGGGCTGCTGGTCCAAATCAGTTTGTTGGTTTTTAAGGCAATGGAGCGCAATTGTAAAGCCTTCTTCTTCTTCTTCGAGGCCAAGTCACCAGCTGACTCAAGACAAGAGACGAGCAGAGGTGGTTTGCTGTTGCCTGCCTCTGTGTAGGTGCCCTGGGCTTCCTTGGAGGCCTCCCATCCAAGTATTAACCAGGGCCCACCCTGCTTAGCTTCTGAGATCTGATGACAGCAGGCTGGCCTGGGCCATCCAGGTCGGAGCAGAGGTGGTTGGCCACTGCCTGCCTCTGTGTAGCGACCCAGGCCTTCCTTGCTGGTCTCCCGTGTAAGTATTAGCCAGGGCCGACCCTGCTTAGCTTCTGAGATCCGACGAGATCAGGCCACCCTGGGCTACCTAGGACTGGGCTAAAGCCATTGAGAGGGGCCAAATTTCTGGTGCGCCACCCGTTTGGTCCCCAGCGCCTCTTGGCTGCTCCCCTCTACCCTGCTGCTTGGGGTTCAACCCTGTGATCTGTGCCGACCTAAAACCAAAGGGCCTGATTTTTTAAAGAAAACTACATTCCCTACAAAGAATAAAGCGCCTCTTGGCTGCTCCCCTCTACCCTGCCGCTTGGGGTTCAACCCTGTGATCTGTGCCAACCTAAAACCAAGGGGCCTGGTATTTTTTAAGAAAACTACATTCCCTACAAAGAATAAGGAACTCACCCTGACCTGGGTAGCCCAGGCAAGCCCGATCTTGTCAGATCGAGGAGGAGGGGGCAAGCTGTAGCTCTGATAAGAGCTGTCCTTGAAAAAGAGCAGTTTCTATGAAGGGCTCTCTCAGCCCCGCCTACCTCACAGAGTGTCTGTTGTGGGGAGGGGAAGGGGAAGGAGTTTGTAAGCCGCTCTGAGACTCCTATGGGTAGTGAAGGGTGGGGGTATAAATCCAATCTCCTCCTCCTCCTCCTCAAAACTGCCCTTGAGAGAACAGCTCTGCCAGAACTACGGCTTGCCCAAGGTCATCCAGCAGCTGCAAGTGGAGGAGTGAGGAATCAAATCCGGTTCTCCTAGAATAGAGTCCACACACTTAACCACCACACCAAACTGGCTCAGGGTCGACTCTGGCAAGTCCTTGGATGGGAGACCTCCTTGGAATACCAGCAGTCGGGAGGCGGGGGCAGGCTTTATTCAGCCACCTCTCTGAATATCCTCCAGGCCCCCAGGAGGGGTCAGTCACCAGCGGTCGCCATGACTTCCAGGTTCGTGCGCACACACATGCACATATGAAAAATACACACACACAAAAAAAGGAACTCCTTCCCTCCTCTTCTTTGGTATTGTCGGCCATCAGCAAGAGAATGCCATTATTCTAATTCTCGCGCAGGCCAGAAGGCTGCTGGCTTCCAAGGGTTGTCCCCCTCGGCTTACGATTGACCTGGAGGTCTATTGACGGCAGAGTCGCTGAAACAAGATGTGGCTTAGGAGGCTTCCTTTCTTTAACACGGCCAGTTCATGGGGGAGAATGGATCTGTTGGCAGCTCCAAGCCACAAGCCTTCCCAGTTCAGAGGCAGCCGACGTGATGCTGTAAATGCTCCACAGTAAACCTGGGGTGTCCGGCGAGCCGCTGTAGGGATGCGGGACTGGACGGTCATCGGCCTGATCGGGCAGAGGCGCTTCTTACGTTGTGGGATCCAGGGAATGTTTCAGAGGGTAGCCACGTCGGCCTGAAGTTTTCTCCAAGGGAACTGATCTCTGTCGTCTGGGGAAGAGCTATAACGCAGAGGGATCCCCAGGTCCCACCTGGAGGCTGGCATCCCTACCTGCACATCGTCAGAGGCGAAGGAGCAGGCGGACCGGAGCCGGAGAGTGAGCTGGGATTTCTCTGCCTTGCAGCTCCGACCCCCCAAACCCCTGTTTCGGTTTTGCTTCTCCCTTGCATGAATCAGACTCGTGATTCTGTACTGTAATGTTGTTCGCCGACACTAAATTCCCCCCCCCCCGAAAACATATGGATCTTTCACATCCCCATTTTGCACCTATCGCCTGTGTGAAGACCATTCAGTTACAGATGACAACGAAACAGATCTGCGTTACCGGCCCCCGGAAACCTCCTGGCAAAACCCACAAAACTAATCGGAAGGTGCGTCTCCCGGGTTGCGGCCAAGATGGGAGGCTGCAGCTGGGATTGGCAATTGTGCCGTTGTTGGTGTTGCTAGGGAAAAGTCAGGCAGGCAGGCAGGCAGCAGGAAGCCACGGGGAGCGGAAGGATTGCCTCCCCAGCAGTGTGAACCTGCATATGGGTGGTACTGATTTGGACGGACTTTTTTTGGCCGGGATTCCCTGCACAGAGCTAGCCAGCAGGAAAGGGCCTGTACCCTAGAGGAAGAGGGTTTTTTGGGAGGTCATTAATTCAAAAGGTTGTCATAAGTTGGAAGTGACTTGATGGCACAATACACACACACGCGCGCACAGACACACACACACACACACACACACAACCTGCTACGGTTACCAACCCCCAGGTGGGGCCTGGAGATATCTCGGAATTAGAATTGATCCCCAGATGAAGGAGAAGAGATTGGATTTATTCCCTGCCCTTCACTACTCGGAGGAGTCTCAGAGTGGCTTACGGTCCCTTCCCCTTGACAGACACCCTGTGAGGTAGGTGGGGCTGAGACAGCTCTCTCTAGAACTGCTCGTGAGAGAACAGCTCTGGAAGAACTTGTGACTGACCCAAGGTCACACCAGCAGCTGCATGTGGAGGCGTAGGGAATCAAACCCGGTTCTCCCAGATTAGAGTCCGCCCTCCTGACCACTACACCAAACTGACAGAGATTCTCCCCTGGAGAAAATGGCTGCTTCGAAAGGGTGGATTCTGTGCCATTGTGCCCCACTGGGATCCTGCCCCTCTCCAAGCGCCACCCTCCCAAAATCCCCAGGTGTTCCCCAACCTGGAGCTGGTAACCCTAAGTGCAGCCCAGAAGCAGATTTCCCAAAGTGAGGGAGGGCAGTGATTCCTAAAGCTACCTTAGCGGACAGTTTTTATCCAGCTGGGTCCGAAGCAACAGAGCACAGTTTGAGTCCAGGGGCAGCTTTAAGACCAACAAAGTTTTATTCTGGGCAGAAGCTTTCGTGTGCATGCAAGAATTAAACTTTGTTGGTTCTTAAAGGTGCCCCCTGGACTCAAACTGTGTTCTATTTGTATCCTGACCTTCCCCCAGTCAGCTCGGGAGGTGTTCACGGTTCTCCCTGTCCTCCCGACATCCCTGTCAGGTAGGCTCAGGAGGATTCTTGTCTGAAGTTTACGCCCACCAGCGAAATCGCTGCTGTTGCTGCGGCATCAACTCTGTGCCACAGGGGATGAGAGAAGCACATATTTAGTTCCCAGGGATGGCTGACCCTGGGACCCTGCCTTGAAGTCAACGGACCTGATCCTTGAAATGATCACTTATGTAGCTATGGAGACGGGGCGTCCAAGGAGAAGGGCTGGCTGGGAAGGGCGGTTTTGAACTGAAAGCCCTTGGAAAATCCTTTCTCAAAATGAGTAAATACATAAAAAAATCCTTGCAATTGAATTTTCGTGGTTTAGAACAAGGTGTAAGGGTGGCCTCTGCTGGCAGAGAAGTAGAATGGCAAGTTGTAGAGCATAATTGTTCCCCACGGCCACAAACCTAGACCCTCTGCTAAAATAGGAGATTCCTTGCAAGATACTAGATCATGGGGCTCAGATGAAGACGCCTTCTCTTACCTTATCCCTTCCTAATGTTTGTGGCCTGGATTTTGCTGTGATCAGCTGGGCTGTGACCACCTGATCTTGCCAGAACTCGGAAGCTAAGCAGGGCCAGCCCTGGCTAGTCTTTGGATGGGAGACTTCCAAGGAATACCAGGATCATTTGGTATTTATTCTGGAAAACCCATTGGACTCTGTTATGCAACTACTAAAAATATTGCAGGGGTGTAGCCAGGTAGCTGGATTGAAAATCAACTTTAACAGTTGTTAAAAATATGACTAAAGTTCAATCTCAACACTGACAAGAACTATCAGGCTCGGAAGTCCAAAAAAAAGGTGAAATATTTAGGAATAAAAATAACAAATAATAAAGTAGACAAAATGGGTACCTGCTCCTAGAGCGGGGGGACAAAATGGGTACCTGCTCTTAGAGTGGGGGGCAATGACACCCGTCCTTCGTAGTGGTGGAACGGCGGAGCGGCGGCGGCGGAGAACAGGGCGGCGACGGCGAGTCGAGCGAGGCCGGGCTGATGGAGCGTGGAGGCGGGGCGATGCAGCAGGCTGGAGCCTACTGGACAGAGGCCGCAGCAGGAGCATGCGCTGGTGTGCCCTTCGCCCGAGCCCGTGGATTCAAAGCGACTAAAGGAAGACCACGCCAGAAAGACCTGCGCCAAAAGGAAGCCACCGCCGCCGGATTGAGAATATCTCCCGCAGAAAAAATAAGAACAACAAGACTTCGCCGAGGGTGCCTGTTAGGTCAGTCACCCCCCTTCATATGTGTAGCCCATAGGTAGGATGTATTGTACAATGTAATGTAAACCGCTCAGAGCCCTCAGGGGGTGAGTGGTATACAAATGGAATGAAATAAATAAACAAACAAACAAATAGATGTAGCTCCTTGATGGAAGATAACTATATGGAACTCATAATGGAAATTAAGAAAGATCTGGAAAAATGGGGAAATCTACAAATATCCTTGATGGGAAGAATAGCTACAATAAAAATGAATATATTACCAAGATTGATCTTATTCCAAAAAATTCCAATTCTTCAAAATCAAAAATATTTCAAAGAACTTGATAAATTGATGATACAATTTAAATGACAAAACAAGAAACCAAGAATAAAACTTAAAGCCTTGCACCTCTCTATTATTTTGCCCAAATAGGGCAAATTGGAAACCGGCCGGTAATTAGCCAATTCGACCGGATCCAGAGATGGCTTCTTCTAGAGAGGACACACCACTGCTTTCTTGAGCACCGCAGGAAACAGTCCCTCTGTGAGGGACTTGTTGATAATTTCCCTTAGGGCGCTATGGAAGAGTGGATACTCATAAATACTTCAAGCAACATCTTGTTAGGGACTCCTTATTGAAGGTATGGGAAGAAGTTAAAAGACTTTTTATACCAAGATACCAAAATGGGTTTCACCACTTGATGCTTTTACAAATCCAAATTTACTTCAAAAAAATGCATTGTTAAGATATGAAGACTTGTTAGATAACAAAAATGAATTAAAACCAACAGAAAACCTTAAAAAACAAGAATTCAACCTAACTTGGTGGAAAAGAGCACAAATAGAATCAAGATATGTTAAGGATAAGTTAACAGGATTTTATTCGAAAATAAGAGAAATGGATAAGATATTGCTGTATACTGATGAGAAATTGATTAAGAAACTATACGTAACAATGTTAGAGAACAAAATGCAAGATGAAGTAGTTAAAAATTCTATGGTTAAATGGGCGCAAAACTTGGGTCATAATATTGATTTGGACCAATGGCTACAGGCACGGGGGGGAAATGTAAAGATTACTAAAGCAACTTCATGTTTTATAGATGATATATTACTCCAGATAAATTGTCAAAGTTTTACCCTAACCTATCAAACGATTGTTGGAAATGTAAAAAAAATGTTGGTTCCTTTTTTTATATGTGATGGACATGTGATAGGGTTAAAAATATTGGTGTTGGATTCATGAAATATTACAAATAATGTTAAAAATTACTATACCTTATGTACCAGAATTGTTTGTGTTGAATACATTACCAGAAAATGATAAAAAGCATGTAAAAAACATGTATACATGTAATGACAACCGCAATAATTTTATATGCCAAACACTGGAGAAGAAATGAGGTACCTTCAAGAGAAGAAACTGTAAACAAAATGTTGGCAACGCAGAGATGGACAAATTACCTTTAATGTTAAGAGGACAGACTGAAGGAAGCTTTGAGAACACATGGTTAAGATTCTACAAATGGCTTGAAGAATACAACAAATAAAATATATTGACATACAACCAATTTAGAAGCAAATAAGAGCTACATTTTTAATTATATGCAAAAGATTTATTTAAAAATACAAGGTGGAACAAATAAAAATTTAATTAGTTATTGTATGAAGCAGGGGTCCTTTCGTAGAAAAATAGGTGCAGGAGCTCATTAGCATGACTTATTTGCATATGCCACACACCCTGACATCACTGGAAGTGTGTCAGAAGGCAACACCCACCACTCAGGCTCCACTGGACTGTTATGGATTGCTAGCTATTGGGGGGGGGAACGTGCAGATCTGCCCTCACAGAGGAGGGAGAGCTTGTACCTGAATAAAACTTGGTCTTAAAGGTGCCACTGGACTGTTTTCGACTGGGTTGGGTGGGTGGGGCTCTGCAACTTATCTGGCTGCTTCTTGCTCTGACTGAGGGCTGCTGGGAGCGGGGGGTGGGGCTTGTTGTATGTGCCCGCCCTCTGGGCTCTTTACTGCCGGAGCTCCGCTCCTGTGCGCTCCTGCAGGAAATGACCCCTGGTATGAAGTAACTAAATAGACAACGTAATGATGTAAAGATAATTTTTGTATGCATGTTTGTCTTTTGTGTTTGTCTTTTATAAAATATTTTTTTTTGCAAAAAACAACAACGGAATACCAGGATCATGACACAGAGGCAGACCAGCCACGGCAAACCACCTCTGAACATCCCTTGCCTTGACCTGGATAGCCCAGCTAGTCCGCTCTTGTTGAGCTCTCAAAAAGCTCGGCCCTGGCTGGTACTTGGATCAGAGACTGTCAAGGAAGACCAGGGATGCTACGCAGAGGCAGGCAATGGGCAAACCACCTCTGAGCGTCTCTTGCCTTGAAAACCCTACGGGGTTGCCTGAAGGCATCTGTGATGCACTGGCACTTTCCACCACCACAGCCTGGCCAGTTGCAAAGATGGGAAGGAAAACGGCAGTCCTCCCTGTTGTGTGCGTTGCTTAAAAGCACTCTGCACACGATCAGAGGCATAACTGAAGAAGTGAACTGCAGCTCACAAAGGTCCACATTGGAAGAGATGACGTTAGACGTTAAAGGTGCTAGTGGGCTTTTGTTTTACTTTCACACACACTAAATAACGCACTCTCAACCAACGCTCCCTCTAAGCCGTGGAGTCTTGTGAACGAAAATTCTTCTTTGTGAGCTGCTGGCATTAAAGTTGTGAGCGAGCGATTTGGCTGCTGCACAAATGAGTTTGCTCTGGAGCCGCCCTTCCTGAGCGGAGACACAAATCTGTGAGCCGGAGGCTAAAAAACTGCGAGCTAGCTCACACTAACTCAGCTTGGAGGGAACCCTGCTCTCAACCCACTTTCAATGCACTTTGCAATCGGATTTTACTGTGTGAAATGGCAAAATACACTCGTAAACGGTCGCTGAAGTGGACTGGAAAATGGCATTATTTAGCATGTGGGAAAAGCGCTCGAGATCATGTTTACACACAGAGGGGGAAGAGACAGAGGTGCGGAAGCTGAGGCAGGGCTGGGGGGAGAGATGGGCTTCCCCTCCCTTGGGAGTCCTCTCTTGTCTCTGTGTGTGCACACATCCACTTTCAAATACTGCTTCCAGTCCAAAGGACCTGAGGTTAGGGTTGCCAGCTTCGGGTTGGGAAACACCTGGAGATTTTGGGGGTGGAGCCTGAGGAGAGTGGGGTTTGGGGGAGAGGAAGGACCTCGGCGGGGTCTAATGCCATAGAGTCCAGTTTCCAAGGTAGCCATTTTCTCCAGGGGAACTGGTCTCTATCGTCTGGAGACCAGCTGTAATCCCAGGAGATCTCCAGCCACCACCTGGAGGTTGGCATCCCTGCCTGAGGTTCACCTAGTACAATTATGTTGCATTTGTCGTTCAGTCGCACCGTCGAGTCCGACTCTTTGCGACCCCATGGGCCAGATCACACCAGGCCTTCCGGTCTTCCGCTGTCCTCTGAAGTTTGCTCAATTTCATGTTTGTTGCATCTATGACACTGTCTAACCATCTCATCCTTTGCCGTCCCCGTCTTCTTTGACCTTCAGTCTTTCCCAGCATCAGGGTCTTCTCCAGTGAGTGCTCCCTTCTCATTTGGTGGCCAAAGTCTTTGAGCTTCAGTTTAATTATCTGGCCTTCCAGGGAACAGTCAGGGTTGATTTCTTTTAGGATTGACTGATTTGATCTTCTTGCAGTCTAAGGGACTCTCAAGAGTCTTCTCCAGCACCATAGTTCAAAAGAATCTATTCTTTGGCGCTCGGCCTTCCTTATAGTCCAACTCTCGCAGCCATACATGACTACTGGGAATACCATTGCTTTGACCATGCGGACTTTTGTTGGCAGGGTGATGTCTCTGCTTTTTATCATGCTGTTTAGGTTCACCATCGCTTTCCTCCCAAGGAGCAGGCGTCTTTTAATTTCATGGCTGCTTTCACAGTCTGCGGTGATCTGGGATCCCAGGAACGTGAAGTCTGTTACTACTTCCACGACTTCCCCTTCTATTTGCCAAGGAGTGATGGGGCCGGATGCCATGATCTTAGTTTTTTTTGATGTTGAGCTTCAAGCCCACTTTTGCGCTCTCCTCTTTTACCCTGAGCAAGAGGCTCTTTAGGTCCTCTTCACTTTCTGCCATTAGAGTGGTATCGTCTGCATGAGGTTGTTGATCTTTTCCCCAGCAATCTTAATTCCCGATTGTGATTCATCCAGGCCAGCATTTCGCATGATGTACTCTGCATATATATTAAATAAGCAAGGTGACAATATACAATGTTGTATTAGTGACTACTCAAAGAATATGTCAATAGCACTTGTTCTGCTGAAGGGAGATCTGTTTCTGCACGTGCTCAGAAGCAGTCAGTCGGAGGGGCCGGAATTTTTGCAAACACAAATTTTATTCTTATTTATTTATTTAAATTTCTACCCCCGCCCTCCCCACGAATGGGCTCAGGGCGGCTAACAAACAGGGGCACCACGTGCCAATACATAAAACCAAATAAAACAGGATAAAACAGAATAAATATTGAAATTACATAATGTGCTCAATGCTGTTGCTCTTAAATTAAGACAAGATGGTGTCCAGTAGATGTTGCCTCCATCCCCGTACAACGGTACCAATCCGCCATGCCGCTGAAGTGTGATCGTCACAGGGCCACTCCGTTCCTAGTTATCAGCTGGGTTCGTCGGTGATAGTGGTAGTGGCGGCTCCTAGTCGAAAGCCTGGCGGAAGAGCTCCGTCTTGCAGGCCCTGCGGAACTGTACAAAAAGAGAGATGGGAGAAGGGCTGAAGGACAGATGCCACGGAGCCACACGTTAGCAACCTTCTGAGCGCAGAGAAGGGAACGTCGTCGTTTTTAAAACGCTCCTGCGAATAAAATGTTCCCGCTTCTAGAACACTAAAGCACCTGGGAATGGAAGACATCAAAACGTTTGGCTCTGTTTTCATTTTGTGGCTTTTGATTGGGGATTTTTCTCGGCTATCTCCATCGAATGGGCAAATGAACGGCCACGTGAGAGTCTCCCGCACCTGGTTTTCTGACCACTACTTTCCCCCCCAAGCATTTCTTCGCTGCTGTGCCACTGGAGGGCATTTTGAGGGCTTTATTTTTTAAAAAAGGGTTGCTTCTACAGTATCGTAGTCTTCTGTTTCATTTGCCGTCAACCTGCAGCTGGCTTATGGGGACCCCGTACGATATTCGAGGCAAGAGATGTTCCGAGGTGGTTTGCCATTGCCTGCCTCTGCGTCACAACCAGTGTTCCCTCTAAGCTGAGTTAGTGTGAGCTAGCTCACAGTTTTTTAACCTCTGGCTCACACATTTTTGTCTTAGCTCAGGAAGGATGGCTCCAGAGCAAACTAATTTATGCAGCAGCCAAATCACCTGCTCACAACTTTAATGCCAGTAGCTCAGAAAGTAGAATTTTTGCTCACAGGACTCCACAGCTTAGAGGGAGCATTGGAAAAGAGGTGCAGGAGCTCAATAGCATAACTCATTTGCATATGCCACACCCCCTGACGTCACCGGAAGTCTGTCAGAAGGCAACACCCACCGCTCAGGCTCCACGGACTGTTTTGGATTGCTAGCTATTGGGAGGGGGGGAACGTGCAGAACTGTCCTCACAGAGGAGGGAGAGCTTGTACCTGAATAAAACTTGGTCTTAAAGGTGCCACTGGACTGGTTTTGACCGGGGGGGCGGGGGGAGCTCTGCAGCTTACCTGGCTGCTTCTTGCTCTGACTGAGGGCTGCTGGGAGCAGGGGGCGGGGCTTGTTGCATGTGCCCGCCCCCTGGGCTCTTTACTGCCGGAGCTCCGCTCCCGCAGGAAATGACCCCTGGCTGCTCTCCCATCCAAGTGTCAACCAGGGCTGACCCTGCGTAGAGCTAACGAGATCAGGCTAGCCTGGGCCATCCAGGTCAGGACGTTACAGCGCAACAGCAATTCTTCTTCTAAAAGCTCTCAGAAAGCAAAGCACGGTGGGGAAAACAGCAGCTGGGAAGGGTGGGTGAAAGGAAAATGGCGCCAAGGAGGGCGGGAGCTTTGAAACTGGGCACCTCCCAGCCCAGAAGGTGTCCAAATGCACTTGGGGCTGTGGGTGCCTTTCGAAAACAGCGTCCCGAGGACATGGAAGACCTGGACAGTGGACAGCCAAAGGACGATGTTGGGTGGATATACTCCCCACACAGGGCTCCAGCTTGGAAGCAAAGGCAGGAGAAAACTGCCACATGAAAGCTGCTTGCAAGGGGCATCAGTTAATCAGGGGCCCCCAGACCGGTGTCCCCTTCTCAGCTGTGTGGGTGAGCGGCCGCTCATTGAGACAGGAAGCCCCGCTCGGCAGCCGTCTGGAGCCGCGCGGGGTGTGGCACTGCCCATGGGCCATTTGAAGATGACAGCAGTTATATTCCACTAAGGATGTGAACTGCTCTGCTCAGTGTGTGTGTGTGGGGGGGAGATTTAGAGGGAACACTGGGCCTTTTTGAGCCCGTGAGCACCTCTGGAATTCTGGCACCGCATCATGGGTCCAGCCACAAAAATGGCCGTCACAAAATGGCTGCCGCAGAAGGCGCCAGCCACAAAATGGCTGCCACAGCTTCCCTACAGAACTACTGTCAAGATTCTGGTGCCGTGGTGGGAGCCGCTGCTTGCCAAACATTTTTCAACAAATCTGCACCATCAGATCTCCAGGGGGCAAGTTGCCTTGCTGGGCAAAAGCCCTACCTGGCCAGGCTCATTCCCTAAAAACCCTTGGCGAGCGCCGGGAAAGGTTCCAGCATGCTCCATGGCTCCCACAGGCACCATGCTGGGTCCCCCCGGGTTACCTCTTCCCTTTCTGGATCTTGCCCTCTGCACTCACAAACCCATTCCCGCAACAGACGTAAAGACAAGAAAATAAGAGGTTCAGCCTAGCATCTGACATTCAGAGGTAAACTGCCTCTGGGCATGGAGCCTCCAGCCAGCCAGTCGCTGTGACCCAGCTCCACCCTAGGGCAGCAGACCTGGGTTCGAGATTTGCCATTCAGTGCAGATGAGGTGTCTGGCCTGATGCAGAGCGCCGCTCCAAAGGAGCAAAGAGAAACTTGACCCCATCCCTCCAGCTTAATAGCCATTATATCTTTTGGAGTCTGGACCTGCATGTGACAGATAAGAGGGGAGATTACTCCTGGCACCTCGTGCTGTTCGCCAAAGCTGGACAAAAATGGGAGTTATGCGGGAGAATCAATTAAGTACGCCCTCATATTCTTGAGAGATAACCCCCCCACACCAGATGATAAAAAGATTGCTAGGGTAGCTTTATAGCCTGCCAAAGTACAAAGAGTGGCTGCTGAGAGTTCACACCCAAGGCTGCTGAGAGTTCACACAAGCTGAATGTAACTTGGTTCTGTTAGGAAGCCGGGAATGTGGACAATAAAGGGGACGCTGTCAATGAAAGGTCCGTCCATTCTCCCCTCCCCCCGTGTCTCAGTTTCCCTCCCAGCTTTTCTTCTTACTTTCATTCCCCCCCCCCTTCGCTTTCCTTCATTGTTTACCTCCTGGCTTGTATTCTCCTTCTCTGGGCTTACAAATCAACCCCAGGCAGTTACACCCTTTTACGAAGACAGCTTCAGCCAGGCCGCTGTGTCAGTCCGTACCAGCAGAACACAGTCTGTCTCCAGTAGCACCATAAAGACCAGGATATTTTTCCAGGATACAAGCCTTTGTGAGTCCAAACTCACTTGGTCAGAGTAAAGGTTATCTGACGAAGTGAGTTTTTTTGACTCATGGAAGTTTACCTCTTGGGAAGCTGTGCTGATCTTTGAAGATGCTCCTGCACGCAGATTTTGCTCTCCCTTTCTTATTGTCTTCAGTGGGACTTAGGAGCAAAGCTCCCTCTAAGCAGTGGAGTCTTGTGAGCAAAAATTCATCTTTGTGAGCTACTGGCATTAAAGCTGTGAGCGAGCAATTTGACTACTGCATAAATTAATTTGCTCTGGAGCCATCCTTCTGGAGCTGAGACAAAAATCTGTGAGCCGGAGGCTAAAAAAACTGTGAGCTAGCTCACACTAATGCAGCTTAGAGGGAACACTGCTTAGGAGGATGCAACTCAGTTTATTTACTGACTTTCACTTATACCCCACCTTTCTCCCCAGTGAGGTGGGTTCGGCCGAGAGTGTGTGACTGGCCCAAACGAAGGCCACCCAGCAACCTTCCACGGCAGAGTGGGGATTCGAACCCTGGGTTCCCCAGATCCTAGTCCAACACCCAAACCATAACGCCACAGTGGTCAAGAACGGCCATGTCAATTTCCCGCCAGGTTTCTATCTTCCCTTCTCTCTGCTTCACTTCCCCTCCTTACCATTCTCCCTACAGTGTTTGACATTTAATAGAAAGGTAAATTGATGCATTTTATGAACCCCTAAATTGCAGAATTATATCCAGTCCCTGCCAAACCGTGACCGAGACGAGACCAGCTAGAAGAGCTTTTCTGGATCTGCAGCTCTTGATGCCAACCAGTGCTCTGTGTGGCATTCACGCGCCCTTAAGACTTTCATCTCTGTTATCATCACATTTAGAAAGCTGGACCACAATTCTCTGTTTTGAATTTCACCAGGCTCAGGGGGTGGGCTGTGGAAATGCCCCCAACTGTCATATTCAGCGGATGCCTTTTAAAAAATGTTGTCGGCATAGATGCAAAAAGTCCCACCCTCTTGTAACTGTCTTTCTAGACACACAGAGAAATAAGGAGCCTCACTGTCCCTTAGGGAAAGCCCAATTTCACGAGAGTTGTGTGACGTCTTTAATTGGGACTGATCAGAGAGAATAACATCATCAGTAGAACAGCACAAGTCCTTATTTCCGTCCAAATGTGGCTGGACATGTGTTTAAGTTGAAGCTCTCATACAGCTGGATTCATGGCAGGATGAAACAGTCTGTTAAGAACATCAGAAGAGCTCTCCTAGATCAGACCAGTGAGAAGAAAAAGAAGAGATTGGATTTATACCCCGCCCTTCACTACCCGAAGGAGTCTCAGAGCGGCTTACAATCTTCTTTCCCTTCCCCTCCCCTCCCCACAACAGACACCCTGTGAGGTAGATGGGGCTGAGAGAGCTCTTTTGAAGCCTCCCCTTCAGAGAACAGATCTGACAGAACTTGTGACTGACCCACGGTCACACCAGCAGCTGCATGTGGAGGAGTGGGGACTCAAACCCAGTTCTCCCAGATTAGAGTCCGTGTTCTTAACCACTACACCAAACTGGCTCTCAGTGAGGGCCCCTCTGGCCCAGCCTCCTGTCTCACACAATGAGAATGCTGTTGTAAGCCATTTTGGGTCTCCACTGGAAAGAAAGGCAGGGTAGAAATATCTAAATAAAGAAACCGAATCATGTTGAATTCCTAAAGACACTCGGCCACTACCAGCTGAGTGTTGCATCAATGCACCCTGCAACCGCCTCTCCTCCATGGTTTAGAACATGACACCTCTGCTGATCACAGACATACAAGAAAAAGGGGTCATTGCCCAGCCTACAACAAAGGACAGGGAGATCAAAACATCCCCACGAGTGCAATGTGTGCCACACAGGTGGTACAGCTTGGCTGTAGCAGAAGAGGATTGTGCCACTTCTGATCACAGGCAAGGGATTCTAGGTTTCAATATTAAAAAGTGCAAATATAAAGTTGGCAGAGCAGGGAGAAAGCCTGTACTTTTGCTCATTGTGGTTCTCCATCTGCAGGGAACACCTAAGAACACAAGGGAAGCCATTTTGGATCAGGCCAATGGCCCATCCAGTCCAACAATCTGTGTTACGCGGTGGCAAAACCCCAAGTGCCATCAGGACGTCTACCAGCAGGGCCAGGTTCGAATCCAGTAGCACCTTAGAGACCAGCAAGATTTTCAAGATATAAGCTTTCAAGAGTCAGTCAGGATCTGTCTTATTTTGTTTCACCAGTTTGGGGATTTGCATTTTGGTACCTGTTACCTGTTTGGGATCTCTTCCGGGAAAAAGCAGCATCCAAATGCCATGACTAGACAACTCCGAGCCAGCTACCTAAAACAATCAAGAAAAATTCATTTGGGTGGGGTAAGAATAGCATCTGTCAACCGTGGCTAGCCATAATAACTCAATGGAACTCCCAGCTTCAGAGGCAGTCTACCTTTGAGTGACCAGATGTTAAGTACCTACAATGGGGACAAGTCCTGTTTGTGGGCTTCCCAAGGGCTGGACATCCACACGGGGAAGCAGCTTGTTAGACTAGATGCTACAAGTAATTTCCCATAATAAAGTGAATAGTAAAGATACTAGATTCCAAGACACATCTAGGAATGGGATTAGTGAATAGTAAAGATACTAGATTCCAAGATACATCTAAGAATGGGATTCTCACAATTTAAAGTAAAGGTAATAGGTTCCCTTGCTCGAAAGCCAGTCGAATCTGACTCTAGGGGTGCAGTGCTCATCTCCGTTTCCAAGCCAAAGAGCCAGCACTGTCCAAAGACGTTTCCATGGTCATGTGGCTGGCATGACTAAACACCGAGGCGCACAGAACGCTATTACCTTCCCACCGAAGCAGTACCTGTTTATCTACTTGCAATTTCTTGCTTTCGAACTGCTAGGTTGGCAGGAGCTGGGACCATAGACGGGAGCTCACTCCGTCATGCGGCACTCGGGTCTCGAACTGCTGAACTACCAACCTTCCAGTTTGCAGTTCAGCATCTTAACCACTTGAGCCACTGCAGCATATTTACAATTCACAATTTAGGGCACATCAATTTCCAGTTCTGACATATTTACCTATGTTGCCTGTCCCCCTGCCCCCCCCAGTTGAATCCAAACAGATGATAACCAGAAACCAGCTTGTCATTCTTTTGATCTGTTTAAAAAATACCTGGAGAATTTGGGGGGTGGAGCCAGGAGAGGGCGGGGTTTGAGGAGGGGAGAGGCCTCAGCATGGTGCAATTCCATAAAGTCCACCCATCAAAGCAGCCATTTTCTCCAGGGGAGCTGATCTCTGCCAGCTGGAGATCAGTTGCAAAAGCGGGAGGTCTCCGGGCCCCACCTGGAGGCTGGCAACCCTATTTAACACGCTACCCCTATATATACAACTGTGATCTGTAATTCCATTTCATTGTCCGACGAAGGTGGGTGCACACGAAAGCTCACACCTTGGATAAAACTTTGGTGGTCCAAGGTGCTTTACTGGACTCTAACTTTGTTCTGTTGCGTCAGACCAACACGGCTTCCCACCTTGATCTATCTTAAAAAAAAACTAAGTATTACATCAAGGAAGCGGCCTATAAAATGCTAAAAAGGCACTTTGTACACGAACAGAGGCACCCTGGTCCTCCTCTCAGGGCCGTTTGCATCCCAACACTTTTTTTTGGCCTTATTCCTCTCTAGCCAGTTTAGTCTCGGTCCCTTTAAGTCCTCCACCGCCCCACAATCCACAGCGGGCTATCCCGCCCCGACCGCGCACGCGCACTTCAGAACCTTTCCCTCCCAATCTTTCTCTCTCTCTCTCCCCCTCCCCTCCCTTCCTCCTTATCAACCAACCTTGGTGAGGAAAAGGCGGGGCCACGTGAAAAAATACACACACACACACACCAAAAAAAACTTTACGCCGAACATATCGATTCCGAAACCTGCCTCACGACAAAACCCCGCCTCCCCTTCCTCCCATTGGGCGAGCTGTGGGCGCACCGCCTATTGGGCCGAAGGGGGCGGCGTCTCGGGTCCCGGTATTGGGCGTGGCGGCCGTCAATCCTCCGCGGCTGGCGGGGAGGAGAGGGCGTCGCGTTGGGCTGTGCCGCGGTTTGGGGGGGGAGGGAGGAGGAGGAAGGTAGGTTGGCTGGCTGGCTGGCTGGCTCGCGCGGGCTGTGTCGGCGGCGCGGAGGGGGAAGGAGAGAGGCCGGCAGGGGAGGAGGAGGAGGCCGCTGAGGAGGCAGGCGAGGCCCAGGCCGACGGGGGCCGCCGCCGCCGCCCTCTCAGTCGCCGCCACCGCCCGCCCGCGCCGCCGCAGCCATGACGCTGGAGTCCATGATGGCCTGTTGCCTCAGCGACGAGGTGAAGGAGTCCAAGCGCATCAACGCCGAGATCGAGAAGCAGCTGCGGAGGGACAAGCGCGACGCCCGCCGGGAGCTCAAGCTCCTCTTGCTCGGTCAGTCCGTCGCCGCAGGCCCGGGGAGGAGGGGGGAGGGAAGGAGGGAAGGCCCCGCGACCCCCTCCGCCGGAACGGCCGGGATTGCCCCCCC